GATCAGGTTGGTCAGGGCCCCATCCAGTCTATCTTGAATGTTTCCAGGGATGGGGTCATCTCTTATGATCTCACAGCTAAGAGAGATCTCTAAGTTCTCTTCTCTAAGAGAACTCATCCGTAAAATACCTTCTCTCACAGTGAAGTCCCCTCTGAATATAATTTTTATTTGGTAGGTATGCTTTATTATATGTATTAAATGCATATTTATTTTCAGATTAATTTTAATAAGCTTTGAAAACAAGCCCATGTGTTTGCTAAAGCATAAATTTCTCCCCCCTTTTCTCATGCTTCAAAAGCAGTAACCTTATCTTCAGTTAATGGAGGCACAAATTACCTTCCAAAAAGTTATTGGAACTAATGACTGCAATTTCATACTGTTCCACAAGTCATAGTGTTGTTTCTTCTTGCTCTAATGAGCAACTAAAAGCAACTGCTTGTTTTGACTGCATAAGAAGCCATTTACAAGAAAAGATTTCTCTTTAATTATTGAAGCAGAATTCCTTCATTGGGAACTTTTCTGAGATAGTCAAACACTAACAAAGAAATTAGGATAACTACTTGTTTATTAAAATCAGGCACAAACAGTTAATTATGGAGCATATCAGAAATGTAAATAACCCTTCAAATTATGTCTTAGGTGCAAGGTAACCACAGATCAATACTTAATTTATAGGAAAAGGCATTCAGTGAGAGTGATCATGAACTTGTGTAGTTCAGACACAGGTTACAGTAATGTTCTTCATTTTAGGGACATGATTTAGTAGTGGACTTAAATGTGTGAGGTTAATGGTTGGACATGATCTTAAAGATCTTTTCCAACCTGAAAGATTCTATGATTCCATGATTTTCTGATCTACTTTTTTATTTTTTTTCTTTGCATACCACAATGGAAATTGTGCTACTTTTTCCTTGTCACTTAATGTCAGATATTTCATTTTATGAAAAAGCTCAAAACTGTGGGTACATGAAACACTTCTACATCACCAGTCAAAAGAGTTAATGTGTAATGACAATCACAACTACTTTTTCTTAACTTGTCTGGAACAAATATTGCATCTTATCTCCCCTGACTTGTATGAGATGAATTAAGAAAGAACCACATTCCTTGGCTGTCCTTGGCCATCTGCACTTTTAGACAATAATTCAATTTAATTGACTACAGTTAGATGGAAGACTTCTATAATCTAATAAAGACTAGCATGGCGGGTGATAATTTTTCTTAAATAATCTGTATTACTTATAATTACATTTTCAGGCCAAGTTTTCAAAAAATATTTGTCTATTTGAAGTTTTGAGAATTAGTAATATGGTACTATTGGATGGAGAAAAAAAAGGAAATCAGAACTCAAATCAAAGTCCTGAGTAACTTATTTAGTTATATGCCATGCAAAATATCTTTTGTTCTTAATGTTCATCCACCAAAACAATTTTCTTGGCCTGGAGGCCAAGGTGATTGGCAAACAGCTTCCCTGAAAGAGCGGTTAAGCATTGGAACAAGCTCCCCAGGGAAGTGGTGGAGTTACCATCCCTGGAAGTGTTCAAAAAACTAGTAGACGTTTCACTCTACAACATGGTTTAGTGGGCATGTTGGTATTTGGACAAAGGTTGGACTTGATGATTTTGGAGATCTTTTCAAAATTTTATGATTACACGATTCTGTGAAAAGTCATCAGCCACCAGTATTGTCTTGTCTCTAAGAAAACCCACCTTGCTAAAAGTCCTTAGGAGTATGAATTAAATGTATATATTTTTATGAATATGTGCATATGTAGATAGGATTCAGGCATATTCCTGTTCATACACTGACCCAATACAAGCTGATGTGCAACCTTGATGACAGAAGTGACCAGATCACAGGGGCTCTTGGGCTCCAGCACAGCTCTCCTTGGATTTGACTGAGCCACACAGCCCATTCTCTTCCCAAAACGTAGACAGGGTGTGGCCAAACTGTGGCCCATGTAGTAGCTCATCAAGGCTTTCTTTACAAACTGTCAGTGCTGTGCCATGGAAAGAGTCCTTGCTGTACATGTTTGGTTGGTCACCACCAAGGGACACAGACTTCAGCTTCCCCTCTCCAGAATTATTGGAAACTACAAGGGTTTTTGCCTCTGTTGCTGAAAACATCCAGTGGGAAGCAAACATTGCTAATGCTGCCAGTTTGCAAGGTATTATTGTAAATCCTGTACGTTTAATAAAAATAAAAAGCCATGTGTGTTGGAAAATAAATACTGTCTTATTTATTTTATATATTTACATATTTTATATATTTTATTACTGCATATATTCACAGATTTTACTACATAAATTTACATAATCATTTTCAAAGTATATTTTCAGTTCTCACAGATCCTACGAACCCAATAAGGGAAAGATTAAAAATACTTCCTTTACACCAAACTCACAAATGTCAGTTATTTTATATTCTTGTTGATGAGGCAGGAGTTTATTCACAATTTTATAACACACTTGTTTCTTTGCAATGCTACTTTAGTAGGGGTGTCTTATTGAAACATGCACAACAATTTAATTAGTCCTGTACCAGCTTTTCTCATACTGAGAGAGGTCAGTGGTATGAAAAAAAACACAACAGTATGGCCTGTGTGCCTTTAAGTTCAGTCCCATTAAATGATGCTCTCTTGCAGATCTATGAAATCAATTAGGAAGTACTTGCAAAGATAGCCAAGGCGAAACTGTTTAAATCCTTAATAGTTTAAATACCCCTTGTCTTGATGTCAGCCCTATAGAGCTATTAGAGCCCAGTCTGGATTGCATTAGCACTACGAAAGTCAACTGCTAATCCTGTAAATGCACTGCCTGCCTTGTCTTTCTCCTGCCCCTGCATCTGCATGAATTGTTCCTTGAAGAGGTGAAAGAACCCTCAGTATTGCCCTGACACTGAAGATGTATGAGGGAGAAGAAAATACTGTTCTTTTAAAAAAGCAAATATAGTAAATATTTGAGTTTTTTCCATAAATACTACAGCCATCCCTGGTACAACAGGGAGTAGTTTGCCTTTTTTGTTGTTTGTTGTTGAGTGATTTTTGCCCCAAGAAAGTAAAATTCTGTCTGTCCTCATACTGAGAATATTTCATTAGTTTAAGACTACTTATGCCAGAAACTACTGTAATTTGAGGGCATTTCTGGAGAACTTCAGGTGGCTCTGGATATGCCAAAGGAAAATTACACTGGAATATCAAGAAAAATATTTTTCTTTCTTCCTTGATGATTTTTCACAACAAGATGTTTTTCCAAACCTAGACTACATATATAAATTATACATTCATTGATTTTGCAAAGAAATTTCTTTATTCAGATTTTGAATTTGGGATTTTTTTTCATGTGATTTATTTTCAGATTTTGGTTTAACCTTTTCTATTTTATACAGATAAAACTTGTCTAATAATTTTGGTTTTTATTTAAAGGAGACTTCCAAATTGAACAATACACCTTTTTCCCTAAAAAAAAAGAGAACCTTAAATACATAAAAGAATATTAAACTGGAAAATTGTCAGTAAGGAACCATATATAAAAGAGATGCTTGCAGATAAGATGGTGAGAATTTCCTCTGCTTTTCTGACAGACACAAGCCCAACTCAGCCCAAACCCACACCAGAACAGAGAGATGAACAACTATGGAACATGGAACATTAGGGAAATCCAGGCTTGGATCCAAATCCAGGCTCACCTGTTCCCCCCACACACCCCTCCATCTAACCCACGTACAATCATGTCACCTTCCTCTAGGATCTGCTCACCTGTCTGTCCTCCAATCGTAGCAAACAGCCTGTGGGGAATTCTGGATGGGATCTTCAGTCCAGCTCTTATCTGGTAATACCTGGGGAAGAAGAATGAAAAATTACATGCTGTTAGAGAAGTGACCACTTGATCCAACCTAAAAGTCTGGGAATCCTGGGCATCCATTCTCAAAAGCGCTCAAGAAAACGGGCATGCTCAGGAATACTGTATCTTTTATTCTGCCTTTTAATTTTAACTAAAGCAGTTTTAATCTGGCCCCTCCTATTTTACAGCAGGCAGAGTGAACACTGTGTGACTAATGAGGAAAGGTGAAAAGCTCCTCCTATGTGGCCTCCTGTAGGGAAAAGAGACATTGAGAAACATCTATGATAAAAAGCAGTGAGATCAGACAAGGAGGGAAAAAAAATTAATACAAAAAAAAAAAAGAGAGGAAACTTCTGTGGAAAGAACAAAAGTGCTAATCTCTCATCTAGGAATATTTAAATTGTGCATAGTGGTTATCATTCTCCTGTTCCATGTTGAGGCTACCCCATCAAGAAAATGTTAGCATTAATCATTTGCCCAGAGAGCGTGTGGAGTCTTCATAACTGGAAATATTCAAGAATTGTCTGGGATGACACTGTTCGAGCAGGAAGGTTGGACCAGATGACCCACTGTTGTCCCTTCCAACCATACCCATTCTGTGCTGTTGTGAATCATATTTAAGCCAGTTGTATTCTTGTTGTTTGCTATCCCATAGCATATAGATTTGTTAAATGAAGAAAGACAGGAAAGACAGAAAAAGTCAGTGATTTCACTGGCTTAAATTACCCATAGAATCACAGAGTCTCCTGAGTTGGAGGGGACTCACATGGATCATCAAGCCCAAGTGCTGACCCTGCACAGGATAACCCAAGAATCAGATTATGTGCTGAGAGTGTTGTCCAAAGTCTTCTTGAATTCTGGCAGGCTTGGTGCTGTGACCAATTCCCTGGGGAGCCTGTTCCAGTGCCCAAAATACGAGCTGAAGTCTAAACAGAGAAAAGAACTCATTCCAGTCTTCTCTCATCACCACTTCCATGGATGAAGGATAAGAGGCAGTGTACAGTACATTGTACACAGTACCTTGTAGCTCAGGATACCTTCACCTGTTTGCAGATCTCCCACTGAACTGCTGTAACACCATGTTGGTGTCAATCTCCCGTTCTCTGCATTTTCCCTTCTTTGGTTTCTTTGTTTATGAATTTGTCATATCTCACAAGCATTTGCAGATGTTTTTGGACTGATTTTGTTCAAGCCTCTAAATACAAAAATAAAGGTTAAATTTTGACTTGTAAAGATCTACCAAGTAACTAAACACGTTA